TCAATGTGCCAGGCGTTACGCGACTTATACATACTGTAAATGGAAAGGGGAAAGTGGTTGTCAACAGCAATTCAGCATTCAATTGCTGGACATCAGCCAGTATCGGTTTCACACTACACCTTTCATCAGGGGATCTTTTCTTACCCAGTTACTTTTTGTCACTTCCAGTTATTCATCCATTCCTTTGCAACTGAGTATATGGCGCCCGCAATGACAACTGTGTTAGCTATAATAATCTCAAGAGGATTGTTAACCAATTAGCTGAAAAAAGTATCCACCAGGTCGAACACAATGAGAAAAAAGAACTTAATTCGCATTCGAATGAAATCACATTGTTTAAAATATTTAACATCTGTTACGGTGTATACTCGGTACCTTGACTCCTTTCCCGAAATCCAAACTGAATATTCGCTGTGCAATCCAGTCCTGGTTTTCTGGTGATAAATGGGTACCATTACGGTCTATAAGGTCTATTCTATTCGTTCGCGTTTCTTGTTGCCAGTGTATGTTCAACCCGATCGATACATTCGTTGTACACATCATCGCGATTATCGTTTACTCGTTTGCACGTTAGTGCGAAGGAGCGCAACGATAGACCGTGGTCATGGCTTTGGCGACCACTGCTTTCAGTTTCAGTTTTTACAACCATTAACCATGCCCTTTCGTGCGCTGGTTTTGGTTACTGTATTTTGGCTGTTCATAACATGAATGACCACATTCGAGTGCCGCACAGAAAAAAACCTTTACAAACGAAAAAGATGTATTTTCAGCAAAATCATAAATTGTCGTTTTTTTATTGATTTGAGCTGACTATCCTTCGGACTTCACCTTCACACACAATCCCCAGTTCATCGATTCAACCATACACTCGGAAGCACTAAGTTCGAGTTTTGTTCAACTACGAAATCGTCGTTTGTTTCAGCTTGACTCTCCTTTGGAAATCAACAAATGCGTTGTTTAACTCAATTGTACACCAGAATAATCGATCCGAACTTCGTGCGTTAACCGAGACAAACAGCCTAAGTTGATCCGGTAACTTATACGCTTCACGCGGTTGACTGTATTATCTATTGATCGCCGTCTTTAAACTTACCGAGGCATTGCGTTCTTCTTATTTTGTAATAGCAGAGGTGGATGAAAGCGCCTCTTGGGGTACTGTCGGATACTTCGTTGTTTGCTTCTTTCGGGTTTCCTGTCTTTTCATTTTCTATATCTTGTCATCCTTTGTGATTGCTTCGTAACGCTTGTAGATGTTCGAAAAAAAGAAACATTTTGAGTGTACCAAGCTGCTGTCCTTTTATATGTTTTACTCAAGCTACTAATTAATCCATATTTGTGGTTCATAGTTTCCCCCCTCTTGTTCTTTTTCGTTTGTGATACAAATCTATGTTTAATTTCTCCTCGCCCTTTTTGAGGCCCCATGAGATTATAACCCGTATTCGATTGGATAACACAACGGAAAGTTTGTATTGGTTAACGTGCCTAGAATTCCCCTCATTGATCAAAAGTCGTGTAAACCTTGGAATTGAGAATCTATGCCCACGTTGTCTGTATTAGAACCTGGCACGAAACGAAAATGAAGTGTAACATTGAATTTCCTGTCCGTTCCCCTGATAGTGTCAGTTTTGTGGACTGTTTTTACTCAAATGACCAAGATAGAGTAAGAGACTGACATACGGGAATAATTCTCGAGCTTTCGATATTGATGTAACCCTCAATGGTTGTTGATTCGAGTTCGTAATTTTTACCGGATGCTCGACTTCCAGTCAGTTAGGTTGTGAGCTTCATCGGTGTAGGATATGGTTGGAAGAAAGCCAAAGACGGCTGGAATGTAAATGAAGGTGAAGGTGTACCAATTCCTATCACTGAACTTGATCATCCAATTTGTTTTAACTATCCGGGTTGGGATTCTGGAGTTCTGGTGACTGGAGATGCTATGTAGCTGAATATCATTACCAGTAGCTCTGTTGCATTTACCTCCTTTCTTCTCCTATCTGGTTCGCCATCCCTCAGCAGAATTTTAATCCTTTATTTAGTGGTCGACCGAATGATTAGATTAAGGTCAGCAACTAGAGGACGGCGGTCGTCGATCGGTTTAGGGGTCATTACGTAGTTTGAATTCTATGACTATCGTCCCACTTCCCAGTAACCTCGGTATCGGTGATTAACGTTAATATGAAACCCCTTGTACATAAAGTTATGGAAGCAAAATTCAATATACTTTACTTCATCCAGAACTAGAGCAGGAAAGTGCGAATTTGAAGTTTGTAACCCTTGAAAACTGGAAAAATAAATTGCAATAACCAATGCTAATTATAAAGCATGACACCAAGACTAACTTGCGCTTCTGACTCCAAGCTTATGATAGTTTTCATCACATACTACTGTGTAAGCAGATAACCTCTGGATTCTTTTACATTCTGCCTATCGGTTCCCTTGCGTTCAACCGAAAAAATCATGCACTTTTTCTTGTTTAGATGCGTGGCTCACCCCAAACTACTCATGAGTAGTAAATGTTTGGCAGCCAAAATATTCAAGCCCCAAACGCCGTCCACACTTTCCCTTGGGTCAGGTTATTAATCAATCGGTCAACAGAATTTTGTGTTCAATAAAGAATTGCGTCCATCTATTCGGTTGTTTTTTCCTGCGCACTGTTTCTCTGGAATAATATTAGAGTGCTTTTTGATTTAGAGAAGTTACGAGATATCCGCGAGAAACGCATAGACTAGAAAGCTTTTCACATAGTCATACTGATGTGGTGATCATCAGTCGTGTGCTCTATCAGTATGGGATCGACTCCTTTCGGGGACTTACTTCTTTAAAATTTTTCGTGAAGGTATGATTCGCATTTATTCTTCTCCAATCGCTCGTAGCTTTTTCCTCCGATTCTTCTGTACTGTTATTGTACCCCGATAATCTATTTATATCCTCTTTTCGTTTGTCGCATATTCATAATCCAAAGTTCGTTTTTTGTCCAAACCGTCTGTTCCATGAAAGACTCGTCATCGCAGTTTATGACCACGCAGGTGGTCGATATCGGATCCGGTTTGGGACATTTGCCAAACTCCCTCGCAGCGATTGTCATTCAAAACAGACCATCCGATCGTTTACCAATCAGAATTTACGCGATTGACTGTGATCCGGCGTTGGATCAAAAGGCTCGTCTCACGCTGGAGCGGTTCGCCCAGGACAGCAATGTTAATCTTCAATCACGGGCTCGAATAGTGCGACGCGTGCTTTTTCGCTTGACCGAACCGAACGTGACTGAATTTATGCACTTGTGAGTTCCAATTTGGTTTTATATCCACATATGAATTAATCCCACCTGAGATACGAGTGAGAATTTTGTATGGAAATCCATCTAGAAATTATCAGTATATGAATGAATTTTGTAATACTACTACTTTGAGCCCCGGCAGTGCGATAAAAGTGGCGCGCAACACAGGGGAGTCCCAAGATGAACTAAACAAGTATCCAGCTATATCATTTGGTGGTCATTTCACCATTCCATGACATCTAAAATGCATTCACATGTAGGGGAATCCAAAAGCTTCTGAGGAGGGAGAATCAAATCAGAGCAACAATAACACAGATATTTCCGGTGGGAAACACCGAAAACGAATATATATATATATATATATATAT